AAATGGAAGGAATATAAACATATTGAAGAGTGATGTTCATTTACAAAAAAATTAACTTTAATCTCGAAGTTGTTTTTTTAATTGAACTGAGAGAGTCGTAAATTCTTATTGTTGAGAAACAAGTTCATTAACAGAATAAGAAAATAATTTGACTAAAATATGAAAAACAAATTGTTCTCGAATTTATATATTCATTATTGATTTTAAAATCGTTCAGATGTTTGATTATGCCTTTATAAATACTAATTCTAGTATATTCTTACAGTATAGATGCAAAGAAGTCTATATAATGTGACTTATCATATAAGTATATGAATATATATATATATCAGTCACTCGCTCATCAAACTATCAATGTACAATCTCTTGCTTCTGTTTAATATAACATTGTGTTTAGAAATAATTGTTTTTAAAATCAATTTTTAATTGTTCATTTTATAGGATTATATTCAAGTTTAAATAATGGCAAATTTTGTTTAACAACATAAACAAGCATATTTGTGTTATATTATTAAACTTATAACTAGTGCTTCCTTCGTTCGGTTTTACAATTTGTATTTTAATTGTCAACTCTTTGCGAAAAGACATATTTTTAAATGATGTAATTGTTGATACTAGAATAAACTTGATAGTTGTGCGAGTTGTATATTGAATCAATCGAGATTTCTTTGAAATACCATCATCATCAAGCTAAAGATCATTGTCATATTATTTGCTTGCTCTTCGTCAAAATATCATTTCATTGAAAATTTCCGTAGAATCTTTTGTCATTAATTAACATGAGATGTAATCAAACAATCGAATAGTTGTCTATAAAATAAAAAGAAAGAGTCTCGTGTTTAGACATATGTTTTTTATATGAGAAATACGTAATGAAGAAAGAAAAACAAAACAAAATGATGTTTTATTCATAGGTTGAAAAGTGAGTACCTATTCTTTTTTACTTGTACATATATGTATGTGTTATATCACCCATTTTCTTTTCGGTCTGTCACACATTTGCTCTTCGCTATTTTTTCTCTCACATGTTTGCTCAACTGTGTTGATAACGATAGTTGAGGAAGCTGGACATCTAAAAAAGTACAGGGCTAATTGAAATAAGGTCAGACAAAAATATAATTCATATTGATCGTTAGCTATGTATATTCTTATTTTTTTTAGATTATTTAACAATTGTTTCAATGTTGTCTTTTCTTATTTAATAAGAATATTTGTTTGAATTAATTTGTGTAATATAATATGGTATTCAAAGAACTATTGGTAATACTTTCATGTTTCTATTTTATAGTTTGTGTTGAATCGTAATTATTTTGTCATCTGCAATATTATTGCAATCAAATCGATTAATTTTCTTCTCTTTTTCTGTCAACATTTATCTGTTACAAAACGAGGTTTAATAAGTCCTTCTCATAATCATTTCTTTTTCTTCTTAATTATGAGACATATATAGATTGACTATTTTTACATAGTGACTGGAGTATATGACAAAACAGATATTTGCATTTTTCGCCTACGTATAAGCTATAGAGTACTCTTTGTGCTTCTACAATTTCTTGGTTTGAAATCATTTCGAAAGTTGTTCATGGACTTTTTGAAACTTTATGAAAACTTATACGTGTACCACATGCATAAAATAGTTTGAATGTTCTCTTGCAAAGCCCATTTCTCTGTAGGATATGCTAGTTTTATGTGGCATATTGATTTTCTTGATCAAGAATTTATCTTTATGACTCGTGTATAGAAGATCTATTCGTTTTGGAGTGGATAAGTGCATGTGAAACAGTTCTATGACATATTTTTATACGTACCCATTCTCATTTCAGAACTTCATCTTACACTCTCTCTCTCATATTCAGATATTTTTATACTATAATCATGTCTTTACTCGTAATTTTAGATATCTGTTTTCTACTTTTATATCTAACAATGAACAAAGACAATTGTTAACTGTCAATTATTCTTGGAATGATACATAGAAATGATACTTTTAGAAAAATATTTCGTTATAGAATCGAACGTATTAGTGTTTTTTTAATTTTTATTATCATTGTTGATTATCATATTAACAAAGTCTCAAAAGATTTCATATTGTTAGAAGATTGTATTCCAAACAGTGGTTTATCTGGTGGATTTAATAATAAACTTACTCATTATAAAAATATAGCTGTCATTGTTGAGTCACGATCAGATCCACTTCTGATAACAATTGTTTTAAATGTACTTCAAAACATTCCCGAAAGTTGGCCTATTCAAATCTTTCATTTTGAATCCAATGCTCAGTTTATTAATAGTTCACAACTATTCAAATATATTAAATTAGGAAAGATTATTCTAACGAAACTTCAGGATTACAATAGCAACTATGCTGTATTTACCAATACATTATTAACAAATATAACATTCTGGAAGCAAATACGAGGTGAAAAAGTACTTTACTTTCAACTTGATTCAATTATGTGTTCAAATTCACCACATAAAATAAGTCAATATTTAAAATATGACTATATTGGTGCTCCTTGGAAAACTATTTTACCTTATGGAGGAAATGGAGGTTTTTCACTTAGAAGTAAAAGTAAAACGCTGACTCTTCTTCGAAGTGTTCATTATGATAGAAATCAGAATGAAGATATATGGTATTCGATACGTTTTTCAAATGTTGGAAATATGGCTCCATTAAATGTATCGAAAACATTTGCTGTTGAAACAATATATTATGATAAACCATTAGCTGTACATCACCTACGAATCGATAAAGAAGATTTAAAAAAACTATGTCATACATGTCCAGAAGCTCGATTAGTGCCTCCTTATTGTATGTGATACTTATTATTGTTCGACAAAATTTTATTGAATATTATAATAATAAATTAATAAAGTCACGCTCAACTTACATAATATCATTCTTACATGTTTATCATTCAGTTATTGTTGAAACGTCTTGTGTTTATATTGTTTTCTTTTTACTCTAAGAGATTCTAACAATGAATCAACAAAGAGATCAGGAGCATATATAAAAGGAGTTCGAGAAGAGAGTGTGATGATTAAAAGAAAACTGCATGTGACACAATGATAGTTTTAAACGAAACATCAAGTTCAACAAGTAACAGAGCTTCTAGTAATTTATATATACTTTTTTATACATTCATGTTGACTAAGTAATGTTAAAAAACGACAAGATTATTTCATTATTCTTTCCTGCTATTATGTATAATAAATTGATTATCTCTCATTCTATGGTGTTTCTCTGTGCGATACCTTCTAAACTGAACAAACTTAAAAAAATACGAATCTTTCTAGAACATGAGTTTCATAAAGTACCAGTTTCAACTAATGGTCTAATGAAAGCAAGTCACTCGGTTTAGTGTTGATCAAATTAATTTTATCAGGTGAAAATCTATAATGATATAGCAGTTTTGTGAAGATTGTTCTATGTTTATTTTCAATTAATAAACTTATATAGATAATGAATAGCATGAATAACGATTTTTTACATCCGTGATTCATTTGGTATATCGACTAGAAATAATAATTTTATTGATTAAAATAAGCAATGACATCAAACTCATATATAGAAAAGATTAGTGTACTTAGAAGTAAGTAAAAACATCCATCTATAACTATCCTATATAATCATGATTTTTATAAAAAAAACTAAATATCATAGGAATTAAATACAAGATCAATAATAGTACGTCAAAAGAAGAAAAAAGTGATGAGTAATGTGTATGCATGGTTGTTGTTGTACATCGACTTTAATATTTTAATCACATATGCTATACAAAATAATATTAACTTTATACATCTAATCTCTTTATGAAATTATGTTAATCATTAAATATATATACATATATATATTAACACGTCTATCAAATTTCACCAAAATTATTAGAAAAAAGAAATATATATATACAGATTATAAAATTTGATCGTTAAAATATTCTATTTGACAGTAAGTAAATTTTATCATTCTTCATTTTTTTTTCTAAGTAGAATAATACTGATAGTATTTGATCGAATCAAAAAACCTGTTGAAACTATATGAAATAATATAAAGATTATGAACAAGAAGAAGTAAATACATAGTATATACTTTTAAAGTTTCACTTATTTAAATAGCTAAATACATTTGCATATTCTTTTTTTTGTGATTAATAAAGAAAATTTATCAACAAATGTTGTTTATTTTCTATATAATTCATATTAATAAAAGTCGATTACATACTTTATATCAGATTCGTTTTCTTCTAGTCATTGTGCCATATATATTTCTAAATTAAGTGTTTTTACTGTTAATTGCTGGCAACACTTCACTCAACACTCAATACAATCAATGTCATTATATAAGAAAAATAAGTAATAACTAAATCTTCAATAGTTTATCTTTATTGGGAGACTATATAACCGATTCTGCCTGTTTGCAAGAACTTATTTTGGTTAATGAGAACATTACTATAAATTAACTACATATCTACTCACACAACTATAAAGTCATAGTTGATTAATAATTTATATAATTATGAAATCAAACAGCTGCCAATCTAATATATAGCTAAATAAATGCAATTCTTTCCATTACCTTTATCCTAAAGACTCAGTAACGACATCTGTATATTCTGCTGGTTTATGTAGATACACACAAAATTATGTTGTAATAGAAGTGTAGAAACATATACATGAACATCATTAACGATGAAAGTGAAATATGATTTTATTTATTCTTTGAGTTTTGCTTTCCAAAAATAAACAAAGTCGTACTTTCATCCAACAAAAAACCAAGAAAATAGTTAATCATCTCCTTTAATGAATATGATGTTTACGTAAATCTTTGAGAATGAAAATATAATAACATACAACTCAAGGATAGTAAGTCACAATGAAGCAAAAACTAATGATAAATAAATGTAGTGAACTATCTGTGACATAAAAGTTTGAATTTCTATTTTCTTTGATTTGAATATTTACAACCAAAAATAAAATTAAAGTAAGCTTAGAATAATATAATGAATATGTTTTTTTGTAGACGTGTTTCTCCGATACTTGAACACTTGCCTGTTGAAACGTCGACAACAGCAATAACAGATGATAATGCTCTTTCGGATATAGTAATTCAAGCAAATGATGATGGTATTTCACATCATCGTCCGTCTGAACTTCGAAATCAAAGAGATACACGTGTTTCTATGGATCTTACATCGAAAGGAACGCTTTCATTTCATAATATTCGTTACGTAGTTGGTGAACGACGAAAAAATTGCTATCTATCTTGTATCAAACTGAAATCGGGTAAAAAGATCATTAATAATGTTTCCGGTATCTTCACATCAGGAATGAATGCTATTATGGGTAAGTTCGTTATATATATATTTCAAGATAATTTGAGTAGTTAATGATTTTTTCGAATTAAAATTCTAATAATAGTACATATAGCTTTTATATATGATTTTTAGGGCCAACTGGATGTGGCAAATCATCTCTTCTTGATGTACTAGCTGATCGAAAAGATCCGCATGGTCTTTCTGGACAAATTTTTGTTGATGGATGTCCTCCGCCTCCGTCATTCAAATATATAGTTGGTTATGTCGTTCAAGATGATATTATTAGTGGAACACTCACTGTACGAGAGAATCTCATGTTTTCAGCTAATGTTCGTTTACCTGCTGATGTAACTAATAATGAACGTCAGATACGAGTAACAAAAGTTATTCAAGATCTTGGACTTGAATTATGTGCTGATACAAAAATGGGTACTGAATTTTTACGAGGTGTATCAGGTGGAGAACGAAAACGAACATGTATTGGTATGGAACTGGTACTTGAACCAAAAATACTCTTTCTTGATGAACCAACTACAGGTTTGTATTTATCTGAATGATATTTAATTCCAACATAATTTATAATTTCTATTCATTATACAAAAAAACTTAAATATGAGATTTCCATATAATATATTTGTATTTATTTACCATTTAATAATTATTCATATGTAGGACTTGATTCAGCAACTGCTCGAAATGTAATGGAATGTCTAAAAGTATTATCAGAGACTGGACGTAAGTTTATTTTGATTGAAATTAACTTCATTTATGTAAATATTATCAATAAATCATAAGGTACGATTATTTTTTCTATTCATCAACCTCGTTATTCTATATTCAAATTATTCGATACTATTCTTCTTATGTGCAAAGGCAAAAATGTTTATCATGGATCAGCTTCGGCTATGCTACCTTTTTTCAGCGATCGAGGTTATCAATGTGAATTACATGATAATCCAGCTGATTTTGCATTGGATATTCTAATTGATGCTAGTCGAAATCCTGATGATTTAAGGAAGTTAAATCAAGCTTATAGACAATCTCCTATGTGGAGTAATGTTAATTCCTTATCACAACGAGAAAAAAGTAACGATCAATTTGAAAAACTTCGTCGGAAACAACAGGGAGCAGCAGCACGATCATTAGGTGTAGAAATCTATTATGTATCACAACGAACATTAAAAAATGCTATAAGAAATCCAGCGTTATTTTTATCTCAAATAGTAGTAGCTATTATATTGGGATTATTAATAGGACTTGTATTTCATGATATGGAGAAAACAATTGATCCTGGCGTACAGAACCGATTAGGAGCCATCTTCTTTATTATCATCAGTCAAATATTTAGTACTATAACAGCACTTGAACCATTACTTAAAGAACGTGCATTATTTATACATGTAAATTTTTATGCCTATTGAGTATATTAGATAATAAATTATATTTTTCTAGGAAAACGTCAGTGGTTATTATCGAATTTCGACATTTTTTATTGCGAAACTCATTTGTGATGTATTACCAATGCGAGTACTACCATCAATTATTTTTTCTTTAATCGCATATTTTCTGACTGGTTTACAACGAAGTGTTGGTCAATTTTTTGTTTTTCTCTTGACTATTTTTATGTCTTCAGTATTTGGATCAGCAATATGTTTCTTTATATCAGCTCTTATTCCTGTTTTTGGTAAGTTTATAAATATACGAGTTTCTTATGAATATCACATGTTTATTTATTAGCTGTGGCTTTCATCGTTGTTGTACTTATACTTGTTATTATGCTTGTCTTTAGCGGTTTTCTAATCAAATTAGCAAGTATTTTCAATTGGCTTTCTTGGATTCAATGGATCAGTGCTTTTCGATATGCATCAAATGTCTTAATTATAAATGAATTTCGTAATATTAATTTTTGTCTATCCAATATGTCTAGTGTCTGTCCAATGAGTGGTTTGGATGTATTAAATAGACAAGCATTAGATTATGAAACAGATTGGGATATGTGGAAGTATTTTTTTGCATTATCAATGATGACAGTTACGTTTTTTCTCTTATCATATATTCAACTTTTTCGTATTAAAAAGACTAAATAAGAGTAACTACTTCAAAAGGAAGAGATCAATAAAATTTACTTCGATGTCTATAATCATGTGCATATGGTGTATAAATGAATTCTTCTCTTCTCATGCAGAATATACGAATAGAGCAAATATTTATTATTCACTCAAAATAGTGAAATCAGCATGTGCGATATATATATATATATAGTGGTTATAAAAACATAAAATGCAAACGACGATATCTCCTTTTCTTATTTTTATATGCTGTCAATATTTTAATCATTAATATATTGATCACAGGATTCCTTTCATCTGTTACGTTATGTCTCCTTTCTTCTTATTCGTACATTTGATTCCCATCTTCCAAATTCATTGTTGGTCAATTTCGAGAGAATACTGATGTACAATTAACTGATCAATAGAAGCAAATTTTAGCTACTTTTCCAAATCTTACTGACGATGAACGAGAAACAATGCGTGCTAAAGCATCAAAATAAGGTATTTATGAAATTTATCGTCAAACATTGTTATTTTCTTCTGATCAAATTCAAGTACAAGATTCTCAAAAACAATTAAAAAATAAATATGATGATGATATTCGATCACGAAAACGAAATGAAATTATCTTTACCACTGAGCAATTATTAGATATAGTCACAAATCATGTGAATCATTTCATCAATATGAAAACAATCTTCCATGTCAAGTACAAAAACGTAACATGTTCAGTTAATACAAGAAAAATTCTTTTCCTAATAAAATCCGTAGATATGAAGACGGAATAAATATAATATACTTATACTATCAACTGATCACAGATAAATATAAATATATTGATGCAAATGACTCATGATCGATATTATCATGTACAGAAAAACAAGATGTGTATTGCATATATAATGAGGAAAGATTAACAAATATATATAAAGTAGTCGATGCTATTTAGAGTCATCTATAAATATAAAAACAATTATTTATTCTATGACTTAAATATATATGGTAGATATTAACATATGAATATTATCATCAACGTTAATAAATATAAATTTAGACGGGATTTTTTTTTGATCGTTAGTCATATGATATCTATATATGAGATGAGAAAGAAAAATATACGTCATGTATAACGGATAGACTATATCGGGCCCTCAAAACAATACGAGCGTACCTTTTTTCTATTTGTTATATAGTATTGCAACATCGGTGAAAGAAAAAGAAGTAAAAAACGAACAAAGAATTAAATATGAAGGAAAATGTGATGTATTCACATAGCTTTTTATCGTTCGTTTTGTTTTACTTCTTTCTTTTCCTGTCTCTAGTCGGTGTTAGTACATATTTCATATGTATGTTTCTTCCGTTCTCTCGTATTCATTAGGATTATTCCTTTTTGGTATAATCCCTGTTCTTGTTGAAAAATATTCTCTTTTGCTATTCAGGAAGATTCCTGCTCTTACGCATAATGCACATTATATATATAGACGTGAGTTGAGCCGTATATTCGACAATAAAGTATCATTCAACACACACACTTCAAGACGTCAAAAAAAAAAAGAAACAGGCCGTATTTATTTTTTCTCTCAACTGTTACATACACGAGACTTTTTATAATATCCAAACAAAAAAATGTATTTCGAAAATTTGGCAAATGAAGTTATATTTGATATATTCAAATATCTTGGTTTTATTAATTGTCATCATGCTTTTCATAATATTATGTCTCGTTTGAATCGCCTTCTTGTCAATCAGCATTCATATAATCTTGATTTTCGAAACGTATCCAAATATGCTTTTGATAATATTTGTCAACAATATATTCCATTGATTAGTCATCAAATCACTTCACTTCATCTATCGGACAATGAAGAAACACCAAATCTTCCAAAACTATTTCTTCTTCAAAATTTTTCAATCAATCAGTTCTTTCGTTTACAATCCATTTCATTATATTCTATTCAATCATTCGATATATTACATCAAATAATTACCCATTGCAATAATCTTCTATTCTTAACACATTTGAATTTAATAAGATGTAACTTTTATTATCCTGATAATGAACCACGATGTTTAATAGATGATATATGGCGTCTATCAAAATTAACTCATTGTAGTCTACATCAAAATATTTCGAGAAAAATACAACTAACAAATATTTCTGTTCGAAATTTATCTATGAAGTACTTGGTTTTAGAAAATATAACTTGTGATATGAAAAGTTTATCTCATCTATTACAATATACACCTTGTCTTCAACGAATTACACTTAAACTAATATATGGTTTTCCTAATCAACAATTATCTACTCCTTTCTTATCAATAACATCATTAAAACTCGTATATCATGGTCATATAGATATACTAATAAATCTCTTTCAAAATACACCAAATTTAATTTCTTTAACATTAGAAACATCTGATATATATTGTGATGGATATCAATGGAAGAAGATTCTTATGAATTCTTTATACAATTGTAAAATATTTCGATTAAAAATGAATTTACATTTTCATAATTATGATAATATTAATGAGCAAGTTGATGAATTACTTGAAACATTTCGAACATCATTTTGGATTGAAGAACACCAATGGTTTGTTCGATGTGATTGGAATCCATCGAATCTATTTCATCATCTTACTCTCTATACTTTACCATATACTTTCAAGGATTGTTTTAATTTTGATGCAATCTCATCGAAATCGACTTGTCCTAATGATATAGATTATTGTTCTTATGATCATGTACCAATATTGTCTTATATAAATTCAGAAACAGATTTAACAAATAATTTATCTCTATTCTCTGTTCATTTTCCAAATATACATCATTTAAACATTCACTTTCCATTTCATGATAATTTCTGGTCATATCTGTCATCCTTGAAACGATTAACATCGATCGAAGTAAGGTTATTACATACAGATATTGCTTATTTTCAATTACAAAAATTATTAAATCAAGCATGTCATCTCTATTCTCTAACAATACATTATTCAAAAAATGTATCAATGATATTATTTACACTAACTAGTTCATCAATTCGTCGACTTGATTTTATAGCAGAGAGTATATCATGTCTTCGATATTTTAATCATGATGAATGTGATATATTAAAACATTCTTCTCTTGCTCGCCATTGTGAGATTCTTATTATTGGCCTTGAAAATCGTTTAAGTATTGTTAATCTTATTAAAGCAATGCCGACTCTTCGATCATTAATATGTTACTGTAAAGATGATCAGTATACTACTTGGAATTCATCATCTGTTGATGATGAATTGATTGAATGGTTACGAATTCGTTTACCATTAACATATGAGATTAGCAGAAATGAAAAACAAACACATCTTCTTCGACTTTGGATTGATCAAAAAAATATTTAATAACTGCTAAATTTTATATTAAAATATATATTTTTATAAATATTTTTGTCTTATTTCAAATCTCATGGATATTCATTATATTTATTCTTGAATAAAAATATAAAAAGCAGATAAAAAATTTAAATGAATTTTTTTGTTTGAGATGAGAATAGCAATATTAGTTTTTGCATACCAAAAAACTGTTTGGGCTAATAAAATGACAAACGCCATCACCAGGGCGTTTATGCAACATACGAAATGCAACATGTTCTTCACCAAAGTTATGTGTATTCATATGACACATTGCATACATTTGTACGTCTTTGATTTCTTCATTATAATCAATGATAACTTGCTTAACTGTTGTACCTTTCACTGAATGACATAGATAAACTGTATCACAGTCCGATGAGTTGGTCATCATTGTATGACAGACAGTTGGATTACCATCACAACCATTAATTTGGTTAACTTCTGAGATTGTAACGTTGAATGCATCTGGAAATGGTAGTTTTTGGACGTTTGGATCTTCTTTCAATATTTGAATTTTATCAGCTGTAACATTATAAAGATTAGCAGCATACGAAGTAATATCCTCTGGTTTCAAGAAACATTGATGTAATTCACCGGGAATATTATTACTGTCATCACATATAGAAATGTTTGTAATATCACAAGTATCGACAATATCACTTTGGCTCATTTCATGTAAATTACCCCAAGTTCCACTGAACAAAAGTGTTTTGTTAGCTGCAAGTGATGCTGGTGTCTGATACCAACCTTCATAGAGTGAACGATCGAGTGATGAATCGTGATTTTCCTGATTAATTTCATATGGTTTTGGTCTAGAATGCTTGTGGTTTTCATGTGCTTCACCTGCTCCTATTGTGGCATTCGAATTTCGACGTACTCTTGTATTTCCTTCATCACTTGTTTGACTACTAT